GGGGTGTGGGGCAGAATCAGGGAGGAAAACCCTCTTTGGAAATTGTTAATAAGGTGAGGAAACTCCCCTCACATCGCAATGGGTGGTTAGATGTGTCGATTTAAAACCATCTCCTAGCTGTTCCTTATGACTTAGTTTACATGCATATTCCTAGGATTAGAATCTGATTTTATTGACACTTCAAAGTCTTCCCTATCCATGCTTGTCTGCATTGCTGGATATGATTAACATGGGAATGCTTCCTCCAGGTAGCTTGTTTGTTGGTAATGGTCCCTAGTGCCTAGAGAAAAAGTGTGGATGAGACACTCTGTACCTGGGCTAGAGAATGCCAGGCAAACTTACAGAAATGTGAACTAGTCTTTTACTTGAGGAAAAACCTGTAACATCATCTCTGCCAAGTGGGCAAAGCTGGCCCTGGATAAAGAATTGATATGAAGGCAATATTAAGATTTGAACACAAGTCATAGTTCACCAATAGCAGCAAAATTGATGAAGATACTGTGCTCTGATCCCATGAGTTGTCTTAGGTTGAAGCAGCTGCAAAATTGATGATAGCTGGTGTCCTACCCTTAGTCCAGATCATTTCAAACAGTTTATGTTTGAGATCACCAAGTCAGCAAAAGAGACTGGCCTTTCACCAAAAGGTCTGGCTCTGCTCTTTGGGTGTAGACTCTGAGATGGAAGAAAATAAAATTTCACAATTTTTCATTTTTGCTCTCCAGATAGACTTGGGCAAACTTAAGAAATGTGGTGATAGGGACTTGCTGAATCAGCGTAACTCCTGTTGAACACAAAACAGTGTTTGTTTTTCTGACAGAAAAGTTGACTTACCTTTTCAACTGCAGCTGCTTTCACATAACCTGCAAAAGCAAACTTCCCTTAAGGTATATGAACTTCTAGCACCTAGAAATGTCTTCCTCCTCTGGATCATTTATAAAACTACATAAAGCTTAAAAATATTTTACAGTGTATTTGAAAATACTTTCTGTTCCTTTCAAGAGAGTGACATCTTGGCTACTGGATCTGTACTTACTAGTTTTTTTTACCCATGTGTTTCAGCAACCAGCCCATTCCTACCTCCTGCTCCACCAGCTCTTGCTTCACCCCCAGCACCCCCCAAGACCTCTGCAGGTACAACTGACCCCGAAGAAGCAACGAGGCTGCTGACTGAGAAGAGGCGCCTTGCCCGTGAGCAGCGGGAACGGGAGGAGCAAGAAAGGAGAGAGAGAGAAGAGCTTGAAAGGTAATTCTAGACCTCTCCAGTGGAGAAGGTACATTTTTAGCAGCTTCCTGTATATATTCTGCTGTTATATTGTTTCCTCAGAGATTAACAAAGCTCTACTTGTTTGTTCCAGCTAGAGAACTCTGTACAGCTGTTTTCAACTTCGTGATTGGCATAATGTCTCTTACTTTAAATTGTAAGATCTTTGCCACAGGTAGCATTTTAGGTGTCTAACCATTGTGACTTAAACCTCTCTGTTTTCTCATTTAAAGACACCCCCACAACAATTTTGGAGGGTAATAGTTGCATTTCACTTTCTACTAGCAAATGAGTAGCCCATTTGGATACTTAAAGCTGTGGCAACAGCACAAGTTGAGTGCTTTTTTAGAGGAATCCATACATCTGGAATTTGTTGAACTTCTTGAACAACTTTGCTAATAGGAACAAGGCTGAGCCAGTTAAAATAGGCTGGCTTTCCAATAGGCTAACAATATTGACCCTCTCAAAAAGAGTTTTAAAGAAAAAAGCTGCTGTGGCATAAGAGTAGTAAGACTGACAGATCAAAAATAAAACTTAAAGAATAATCAGTTTTCACAGTGAAAGGAGTTTCCAGTGTCTGTGCTGTGCCTTCATAAATGACTTTGAAAGGACTTGAGGCCAGTGAGATAATGCTGTTGTGAGTGAATATTGTGAATCTTCTGTGAGATAAGGCAGTTATGAAGAGGTTCTGAAATACCTTATATCGCTGAGATACAAAATGGAAGCTGAATTGCTGTACTGCTAAGAATAAAGGAATACGTATAGGAAATAATCCTAACTTAACTCCTGTGTTGGTGGACTCTGGGCAAATTATTTCTGAGGGAAGAGATCTTGTTTGGAGTTTAATGTATGAAAATATCAGGTGAGTCATGGTCAATAAAGTAAATGAACTAAAAAGCTACTAG